TTGCCACAACTGGTTGAGACTCAGCAATAGGTCGAGTAGATTCAGAATCATTGTTTTCTTCATTAGCAAGTTTTAATTCATGCGTCTTGGATGAAATAAATCCCTCCATCATATCAAAAAATTCCTCATTACAGTTAAGTCTTATCATCAGATTTAGCGCCTTTTTTGATAGTCCATATCCTTTAGACCAACGCATTTTTTCACTAACAGATTTCTGTAAAGCAGGAGTAAGTACATTATCTACACGAAAACATGACAAGTGTCGAAAATCAACCACATGTGAAGTGTTGATAGATGCCGAAGGTTGGTTAGGTTTACATAGTCTAATTGATGGGAGCAAAGCAATATCCTTATCTTCTTCATTAATCTTACTATTCTTATACCATCACCTTGATATTAAGGAAATGTGAAATCCAGCCAGATAGGATTTCATTAAAACTTTTATGAAATGTCAGCAAACAAATGTGAACCGTCTGTAAGTATTACAACATGATTGTTAAAGTGGCCAGGAAATAATTCTTGGGGCGTAACAATCCAAATTTGCTCAACATCTTCACGTCGTAAGGTGCGAAGCAACACCTTAAGACTTGTTTGACGCCTTTCATAATCATCTTCAAGACATCCATTCTCAGTAATATTCTCTGGTTAAGCAGAAAGTTATCCCAATTAAAAGAAATTTCAGTGGCATCATATAAAAAGCTTTTGGAAAGCTGTATATGTTGAAGAGAAAGAATGTGTGAAGTTAAATACTCTTTAAGTAAGGAATCAATGCCTGAAAAATACCAGCTTGTGATATGAGGAAGACCTATAGAAGAGTTCATATTTTTCTGTTCACTTATCCTGGCATATCATGCTTCTTCATCTAGACGGTTCTGTATAGCATCTATTAAATATAACAAAGTTGAGCTATGCGAAACTTCCCTCTTAATAATGGCATTTATGCCCTCTACTCTCTGGGTACTTTGAATACCAGCGGTAAAGTGAGTTTGAGTATAGCAGACTGCCCAGCTATGACGTGTAGGGTAAAGTGTTTCTATTGCATATCGATGCGCCTTAGGGAATGGTTCAACAAATTCAACAAATCGCATCCAACGATGTTCGAAATCAATTTCAAGCAAACTATTGCGA